ATCGTTAATGCTGGTAGTTGGATTGAAAATATATTTCAATTAAATGAACTAGGAATGTGTGGAGTGAGATATAGGGTAAACTGGCAGAGTATACATTTCAAACTCCCTAAATTTCATAGAGCCAAGGATTTCAGTGGGTCATCTTTAACAGGTAATAAAGCCACATACCTATTTGTGTATCAATAATAGAACATAAATACACACATAGAAAATGAGCTCATATAAGCATTGAGTTAGAATTGCAAATGTGGCACTTCCCTAATCTAAATGTATATTGATTCATCGGCAGGAAATTTAGAGTGATCCGTGCAGATTCATATTTGAAGCACTTTGCTTCTGACCGTTCTCACATGAAAGATTCCAGCGGGAACTGGAGAGAGCAGCCCCCACCATATCCCTGCATTGAAACTGGAGGTGAGCCAAGGATGCCTTCCCAGAGGGGTGCCAGTCATGGCACAGGTCAATGTGTTCTCTTACATAAGGACAAGAGTCGGGTTACTCTTTGGATAAAACTCCCTGAGTGGTAAGGAAGTAAGTGGGAATGCTAATTCTGTGATTTTATTCGATTCAGAAGTTGAAGCACAGAGAACAGGACTGGCAGGCATGATGTATGGGAAAGAAAAGGTGTTTAGGAACAGAGCTATGATGCTTGCAAGCTGCTGGAACATTGGATGTACCTACCACCAGTAATGTTCAGTGGTAAAATTCTCACCTCCTGTGTGGGAGAACCGGTTTCAGTTTCTGGCCAGCGCACCTCAAGTATAGCCACCACCTGTCAGTGGAGGCTTGTGTGTTACTGTGATGCTGAACAGGTTTCAGTGGAGCTTCCAGACTAAGACTAGGAAGAAAGGTATGGCAATTGACTTCTGAAAATCAGCCAGTGAAAATCCTATGGATCACAACGGTTTGATCCACAGCTGGTCATGGAGATGACGCAGGACCGGGCAGCCTTTTGTTCTGTTGTGCCACGGGGTTGCCGTGTATTAGGGGCCAACTTGACGGCAACTGGCAACAAGCACCACTCGGACGCTGGACTTCAGAAAAGTTGCATGTTTGTGTCATTTCACAGTAGGACTTGTAGCGCCTCACCGTGGTAGGGTCTCACATTATGGTGAGAAAAAATCTGTGCATTCTTATGGTGTATGAAACGTCATTTCACTGACTATAATAAAATCTGCATTACAGGGAGATGAGAACTAGCAGGGTTTATTGTACCACTCATCTCATTTAAGTGCTTTCCGGCATCAATCCAATTTATAATTTCCTGAGATTTAAGAAGATAAAGGTTCCTCACCCAGTCGCTACTGCTTGGCATTCAAATGAGTTTGAAACATTATTTAGGGTTGTTAGTAATTCACAGCCTTGCCATTTACTGGTGAGATCATCCCAGCACGTGGATAATGCTGTCTGTGAAAGTGCTCTGTAAGCTGAGCAAAATGCCAGAAAAATAGGGGAGTCGTATTAGTATTTCGGTAAGGAAGAAAGTAAAAAATATATTTGGCATATTCGAAGGCAGTTCACATTAAAAGAAGATTCAAAATCTTATTTTTGAGGCTCTCTGTGAAAACCTTTCCTAATGGAATTGCTTTTTGGTCCACCAACCTGCTTCCCAGCCTCAGCATTAGAATAGGGATAGCTCTTAGGTTAGGGGAGGGCTTCATGGGTCTACCTCTGTCCCAGGTTGCTAGTGTTGCCATGACAGAAATACCACAAGAGAGTGGCTGTAAAGCACGGAGTTTTATTGTCTCACAGTTTTGGAGGCCAAAAGTCCGAATCAGGGTCTTGGCTTTTGTGGGCCTCTCTCCTAGTTTCTGGTTCTCCTGGGATCCTTCATGATCCTTTGCTTGGAGACGGGTCCTCACAGGCCGTGTGTCTTCCCCCTGTGTGTGTGTGTCTGTATTTATTCTGCTCTTTTTCTAGGTTAGGTTTAGAACCCACCCTACTCCCATATGACCTCATTAGCATAACAAAAACCCCTCATCCCTAACAGGGTCATTTTACAGGGACAGGGGTTAGGACTTCAACATAACTTTTTGGGGAACACAATCCCTAACAACATCTTAGTCTCAGGCAACCAGCTGTATAGTTCTTTTGTTATGTCTGTAAATTCATTGATCTTCTGTATTAACTAATACGCTATTAATCCCATCCAGTGCATTTTTTTTCATTTTTACATAATTTATTTTTTTCTTCTCTAGAGGTGTCATTGGGCTTATTTACTATCTTCCATTTCTCTCCTCATCATGTTTATTTTTACTCTACCTTTCTGAACATCCGAAGCACATTTATGTAATAGCTGTTTTATGATTCTTGTCTGCTAGTTCTGCTGTCTCTGCCATTTCAAGTCTGTTGCTGTTGTTCAATTTTTTTCTCCTGGTTCAGGTCATATTTTCCTGCTTCTTTGTGTGATTTGTAATATTTGATGGGATGCTGGGCTTGTAAGTTTTATACTGTAGTTGCTAGATTTTGAGACATTTTAAAAAATAGTTTGGATTTTGTTCTGGCATGCAATGAAATCACTTGGACTCAGCTGGATTCTTTACGAGGCTTGCTTTTCAGCTTTTTTAGTGCAACTTCAGAACAGCCTTTAATGTAGTGCTAATTTAGCCCTTACTAACCCTGGTGGTGTAGTGGTTAAGACCTACAGCGGCTAACCAAAAGGTCGGCAGTTCCAATCCACCAGGTGCTCCTTGGAAACCCTATAGAGCAGTTCTCCTGTGTCCTATAGGGTCGCTATGAGTTGAAATCGACTCGATGGCCACGGGTTTGGTATTTTTTTGTGTGTGGCGTGGTCCTTCTGAGGACCTGCCAAATGTCCATGTATTACAAGTTCTCCTCTGGCTGGTGGGAACGTGAATTAGTCCTAGCCCTGTGGAAGTTCGGTGGAATTATTAGACCTACTACTTCCTGGTGGTTCTTTCCCCAGCCTCATGAAGTGTCATCATATTTAAGTGAAGCTTGGTACTTAGCCAACAACTCAGAGCCCTGGAATCTCTCTCTCTGCAGCCCCCTTCTCTCCAGTGCTCTGTCCCTAAACTCTGGCTGCCTCAGCCTTCCTGAACTTCCATCTCTGTCTCCTCAGCTCTAGGAGAATGCCGTGCTGTTTGTGCCCTGTCTGCACTGTGGTCTGGAAGCTGCTTCCAGCCAGTGAGCTGGAAGGGTCCTAGGGCTCCCCTCACCTGTTCCTGATTTCTCAGGATCACAGTCACGTGCCGCCTGTTGCCAATGTCTGGAAACATTTGCTTCATATGTTTAGCCAGTTTTCTAGTAGTTTATGGTGGGATTGCCATTCTGGTAACAGTTCTTGGATGGGCAGAAGCAGAAATCTGTATACACTTAAAAAAAGTTTTAATGTAAGTCATGTACAAAACTAGACAGAATAGTGTATCAGTCCTTCAGCAGTTATCATCTCATGGTCAATCTTGATTCATTTGTGTCCCACCCTGTTTCCCCCCTTCAATATTACTTTGAAGCAAATCCTGGATATTATGTCATTTTAACTCTTAATTTTTCAGTATGTGTCTCTAAAATATAAGGATCTTTAGAAATAAAACATGACCATGATACCACTATCACATCTGAAAACATATAACAGTAATTCCTGAAAATCCTGAAGTTCTCTGTCTAGTCAGTGGTCAGGTTGAGTTATGAAGTCATAACCTTTTTTCATCTAGTTTGTTTATTTGAGTCAGAGTCCAAATAAAGTCCACATGTTGTACTTGGTTGACATGTGTCTTAAGTCTTTTTAAATATATAGATACCTTGTCCAGCTACTTTTTTTCCTTGTAATTTATTTGTTGAAGAAATCAGGTAATTTGTCCTGTAGAATTTCCCACAGTTTGGAGTTTGCTGATTGTATCTCTGTTGTTGCCTCTGAATTTCCTGTAAACTGGCAGCTGAATCCAATAA